CCCAACTTGCATGTTGAATCAAAATGGCTGCGTCACCCAACTTGCATGTTGAATCAAAATGGCCGCGTCACCTAACTTGCATATTGAATCAAAATGGCCGCTACACCCAACTTGCATGTTGAATCAAAATGTCCGCTTCACCAACTTGCATGTTGAATCAAAATGGCCACTTCACCTAACTTGCATGTTGAATCAAAATGTCCGCTTCATCTACCTTGCATGTTTAACCAAAATGGCTTCGCAAGGCAATGCTCTGCCTTGCATGCTGACCCAAAATGGCTCACAGCGTTATTCATTTTGCTGTATTTTATGTATGCTGAGGTAGCTATGGCAGCCATCTTGAATCAAAATGGCTCCAAACATTAATCAGCTCTAGAGATACGTCTGATGATTAGTTTCTGTGCGTTTCAAACAAATCCAACAATGAGTTTCTGTTTTGTAGTTCAATATCTCAAAGAATTACTAAGTTAGTCAATTTTGTGTTGCTGAGGCAGCTATGGCAGCCATCTTGAATCAAAATGGCTCCAAACGTTAATCAGCTCTAGAGATAAGTCTGATGATTACTTTCTGTGAGTTTCAAACAAATCCAACAACGAAAGACTGAATTATTGTCAATGTTGAACCAAAATGGCGCCCGACAATACTCAGTTTAGTTGAAAAGTTTTCTCTCATTAATTTCCTATGGGAAATGTGGCATTTTGTTAGCAAAATACGTTGCCATGGTAACTCCAATTGCCAATAAAAGTAATAGCACACATCTTGGAGCTGGGCCAGTTGTTTTGATATAATTTTTTTGTGGGGGTCCACGTTGCGGTTCGGGCCGCATTAACGGAGACGGAATAATAATAAATAAAGAAACCCTTATTGGGTGTAGAATAATAGGTGGCTTCCATGCATTTGCATGGGAAGCAGTGCATCTTTCCTATGCATTGCAATGGCAGCCCCCAATAATAATAATAATAATAAGAATATTATTATTATTATTATTATTATTATTATTATTATTATTATTAGGGGTAGTAGTAGTAGTAGAATGAAAATTATTTAATGATTAAAAAAAATACTCTGTATTTATGAAATAATCAATTTTGTCATATCTAAACTTTTAATTCAACTTTAAACTTTTAATTTGCTACTTCGGATTATTAAGAATTCAGAAAAATGAAATACTTCTGCTAACAATTAAGCAATAAAATAGTTCTTCAACTTTAACAGATAAAAAAAGAAATCATTCAACACTGCATTTCTGTGACATTTTTGTAGAGAATGTTTGTTTTTGATCTTTCCTGAGAGCTTTGTTGCTAGGTAACATGAAACAGGCCAAGTGTTCCATGTTGACATCTGTAGTGTTAATCTGTGGGCGGAGCTTAAGTCAGACCTTTGATGTGTCATGATGATGTCATAGGACAAATTTTATATATACAGGCTGGACTTTGATTTCTAGTCATTTCTGTTGGAGAAGCAGAGCGAACACATCTTGACATTATTGTTCTTACGGCGCATAAACGATTCATTTTATCTTATTGAAGAAAGGCGTTTAATCGTGGCAACAAAAAGAACTATGTCTTCCCACACCCCAAGAGGAGATCGTGAATTTATCAAATCCTGTTTTAAACGGAGGGTTGACCACACGCAGTCTGAAGAATCTGCGGTGATGGAGCCCAACAATTTCCCAGCTCTGCCAGGAAGAGAGCCTGCATGTTTAGAGGCAAGCAGCTCGGGCGACATTAACGAACATCAGTGGACACTAATTAAACGAAAGAAAATCAGACGGAAAGTACGTTTCGGTGTTGAAATGTCACTTTTTCCTAATGGCAAAGAGCGGACAAGATACGTCAAAAAGTTTGATGGTGAAAGGTTTAAAAGATTTTCACCCAACCAGCCCAAGACTGAATTTGACGCAAGCCAAAAACACGTGCCAAATATGGAAAGTACATCCACTCAGTCTATGGCCAAACTTGATATTTCTAGAGAACATGACATCGTTGAGAAAAAGCCTCCTACCCAGTTTCCTGGCAATGCCAACAAATTAGTTGCAGGGTACAGCTTCGCTGATGCTCTGGCTGTAAAGTCCAAACTTGCCGAGACATGTGAAGTTTCAGCTTCAGCTCAGACATCTCAGTCTTCGGAAAACCATAATCAATTAGTCGCTGGACAAAGCGTTGGAAATACCCCGGCTCCAAAGCCACAGCGTATTCCCAGGATCCATCCTCTGTTTGCTAACAGGCAACGTCCAGGAACGAGAATTCTGCAAGAGAACTGTTCATTAAATCAGCAAACTTCTGAAATTTCCACTGGACGTCAGATGGATTCTCCCGTAAGTTTACTTGTGACTCCCAAGGCAGATGTGCCCAAAGCTGATGCTATCATTGAGCGTGTCAAAGCAGATGTTTCTCAACCATCTACTTCTGAAGTTCATGATAGCAAAATGTCTGGCTCTGCACTTGTTAAAGAAACTTACCAGCTTGTCCCTGGAAACAGCGTTGCAGATGTTCTGTCTGCAACGTCAAAACCTGTCAAGACATCTGAAACGTCAGGTTCAGTTCAGAATACGTCTGCAGGGAGCAGCAGCGCTGCTGGCCCATCTCCAAGGCCACAGCCTTCTCTGAGTTTAGAACCACAATCTTCCACAGAACAGAAAAATTCAGTTGAGAAGATTCTGGTTAGAACTTCAGAAAAAGCTGCAGAAAACACGACAGGATGTCAGGAAGAGTCTACTAGGAGTGTGCTCTTTGCATCTGAAGTGTTTGAAATACTAATTGAAAAAGACCAACAGTTTTCTGCTTTACAAAGCCAGAACGATGAACTCCACAAACAACTGAAGTTTCTCCAAGAAAAAGTTAAAAGAATGGAGGCAATGCATTCTGGAGCTCAGGAGAAAATTTTACTGTGTGAGTCGGAATTAACTGTGGAAAAGACTAAAAGGCAGGAAGCTGAGGACTCTCTTACAAAGCTGTTGGAGGAGAAAGAGCAGCTCAAAGCTGAAATGCTTCAAAAAGATGTCCAACTGGAAAAAGACACCCAGAACCACACTGTGGAAATGGACAAGATTAAAACTGAAGCGTTAACTCTGAAACAGCAGCTAGACTCTTTCGAAGTCGACAACGAAAAAGTCCTGGCTGACAAACAACAAGCTCTGCTGAACAAGAGTGCCGAATATTCGACAGCTGTGAAAAGAAGCTTTGACCTAGAAGCAGCTCTTACTGCTGAGAAAAGTAAGTCAGCAAAGGCCAAAGTTCTCTTGACACAGCAGACAGAAGAAGTTTCCCAGTTAAGACTAACGCTGAAGGAAACGTGCAACGCATTCGAACAAGAACATCAGCAGCAGAAGAAAGAGATGTCCCGTCTTGTGTCTGAGCATCGACAAACAGAGGCAACTTTGAAAGCAGCAGAGACAAAGTTGCAGCAAACTCTGCAGCATGAACGGCAGGTGTGGACGAAAGAAAGATCCCACCTCATGACCACAGTTGCATCACTTCAGGAGGCTTTAAATAAGAAGGATGCAGACAATAAAATTGCTGCACAGAGGCTCATGGAAAGAATGGCCACTGTAGAACAACAGATGGAAAGCTTGGAGAGTGGAAAGAAGAAGAAGAAGAAGTCTAAGAAAAGATGTGTAAACTGTCCGATCTGCTAATGGAAACACATCCATCCATCAGCATCTTTAGGCTACACTCTCACTCACACCTAGAGAATCTTAACACCTGGGTTTTGTCCGGGAATGCCGGTTTTTCCCACAATAAAAAAAATATGAGATTCTAAATTGCCCTTAGTGTGTGTGAAGACTTTCTACTGACTCTTCAACATTAGGCCCAATGACTCGAAGCCTTAATCTCATCTACCCATCCATCCATCATCTTTACTGCTTCTTCCTTTTCAGGTCACGGGTGTAACTGGTGTGCATGTTCAGCCATCAATGTGCGAGAGACGGGGGACACCCTGGACAGGTCGCAAGTCGTCACATGTCCTTCACAGGGACACATAGAGACAAATGACACAAACAGCCATTCACACTCACTCACAGCTTGTGAATCTTGAGAGCTGGGATTACTCGGGGAACTCCGTTTTTTCCCACCAAAAAAAAAAAAGATTCTAAATAGCCCTTAGTGTGTGTGTATGTGTGAAAAGATTTTCTGCTGAGTCTAAGATCAATGACTCTTCAACATTAGATCTTACGACTGCAATCCTTAATCTTAAAAAAAAAAAAAAAAAAAAAAAAAAAAAAAAA